ATTGGTCCACCTAAGCTTGTGGTAAAAGGTATTTCAATATTAAACATGCTTGAAACATGCAAACATAATCAGGAAAATATATAAATGCATGATAACTTGAATAATTATTTATTTGCATAAGAAATATGAAGTTGTAAGCTTTCAAACAAATTTATCTCGCTTTGTTGTAATAAGAGACAAACATTCAAGCTGTTGTTTTGTCAAAGCAATGTAACGTTTTTCTGCACCCAAGTAGCAGCATCTAAAAATTTCATTTTTAGAAAGCTTTCCTTCTATGTCAGCTGTGTTTGGAGCTTTCCTAAATATTCTCCTTTTAAAAAAAAAGTCAATATGTATTTTGAATTTTCAAAATGTTTGGCAAGGGATAAACTAGCATTATAGGATGCTGCAAAAGATATCAACCATTTTGATTAAACACTTGAGAGTCTGTGTTGTGAAACCCTGATTTTTGTGGTGTAGGGTCATTCGGAGCTGTAGCATTGAGGTATCACAACACAGAGGCTGAAGGGTTCCTTCCCTTTCCACTTTTGGATAAAGGAAGAATCAACCAACAAATGGCATTTGGCATAAATAAATGCAGCTTGTGTGTTTAGCACATTCTCCTACATTCCCTCTGATGCCACAAGTTTTACAGAAAAGCGAAAAAAAGGTAAAACTTGACATACGACTACAATTGACCCTAAGTTTCCATTGTTAAGCAAGACAGTTGTTTACATTTTATCCCATTTTATGCCACAGTTGTTACGTGAATCACTGCAGGTGTTAAAGGCATTACTAACATGGTTGTTAAGTGGATCTGGCTTCACCAATGACTTTGCTTGTCAGAAGGTAGCAAAATGTGATTATGTATCCCTGGGACACTGAAACATTATAAATACATGCCAGTTGCCAAGAATCCAAATTTTGATTATGTGACCGAGGATGCTGCAATGGCCGTAAGTGTGAAAAATGGACATAAGTCATTTTTTTCAATGCTGTTGTATCTTCGAACAGTCACTAAACAAATGGTTGTAAGTCAAGAACTACCTGTAGTTCTGAATGACCTCAATATGATATTGAAACTCATAGTAACACCACAAGAGTCCCCTGAACTGGCATTAGATAGCAAAGGGACCCAACTTTTTCAGAAGCATATTTATTTTAAAAAACTGTGGGAGACCAAATATTATTCTGTTTACAGCTATAGATGAAGAAAACACTGCAGAATATCAACAATCATCATCACTGTTGCAACACATTCTGAGTCAGAAACCTGTGATTATAATAAGCATAGCTTTATTTCCTGTCTATCTATTCCTAAAAAGGTTTTTGGACTAAGCATCTTTGTATCTGGTCCTGACAAAAATTAGGATCTCCTAATGAGAGAAGGTGTCAGAGGCATGTTTAAAAAAAAAATCAAGATGGAAGCCAAAATCCATCCCTTTTACATGTGATGCACAATACATATAAAGAGCGTGGGACACAACTGCCATCAATCAGGCTCATGTTTACATATAGAGATTAAACCCCAACAATGAATGGAATGATCGGTAACCGGAAATGTAGGCCTTGTGTTATGTAGAAATTAAAGCCACCACAAACCCGGGTTCATAACATTAGACTCTTTCCAATGTAGTAACATTCCTGTTGGAACCTAATATAGCAAAGCTCTCAGGGACAGCGTGCAAATAACAGTGTAGCAACCAGTAGCAAGGTTTGTTCCTGAGAAATGAATGGCTTTAAAGTTTTGGCGATTATTAAGTCAAAGTATGTCAAGAACTGGCCCTTAGACTACTCATGCTTTCTAGAATCTAAATATAATTAAAGTTATTGGAATAAACATGGAGACATTTGAATTATTAGCACCTGACCCCGAGAGTTAGAGTGAAGGCTCAGAACCAAACTTTATTTTTATGATGTAATGTAGGGTGAAGAACATGCTATCCTTTGCCCCCATTTTAGGTCTTACAGTTTCTCTTTCACCTGCAAACTTCACCAATGGAAAGGTCTAAGCAGGAGCCATAAATATTTGGAAGGATGGATCAATACATTGTTCGGCTACCCCTAGTATCCAATGGAGGATGTGTTTCTCTTTTCCTATCGATTGTCTGATATGGGTCATCTGCAAAGCCCAAGCAGAGAATTTTACTGAAGGAAGAGCAAAATAAACATTTACCAATGCAGTTTCACTTGCTCCAAAACTAGAGGCAAGGGTTCATCCGGAGCTTTCAAATTGTTAGGACCAAATAGGGTCCCTGTAATGAAACTAGAAAGGCCCTTTCATTTATCTTATTCAGACACCATCCTTCCAGACTATATTACGACATTGTCTTTTTCTACAGCCCCTGTATAAAATGTGATTTAGGGATTTCTAAACACACACATAGATAAAAAGGAAGATTTGACTACAAAATTTAATTTCAGTAACAACAGATGTTATTTATGGAGCTTTTTCCAGGGAAATGAAGCATGGCTCAAAAAGATAATTGCACCTGAATTACACTGCAACAAACTGTTACAGATAGTCCTCGGTTTACAACAGCAGTTGAGACTGGAATTGCTGTCACTAAGAGACCTTGTCATAAAGCACAACGTCACATAACAGTCTCGGTTGCTGCAATAAGCAAGGACCTCATGTAACCAAGACTTCTGACTTCCTGCTGGCTTCTCCATTGACTCTGCTTGGGAAAAGCCAGCAGGGAACAATGGAAATCATGATCACACGACTTGCTGTGACATCATAGTTGTGAGCCAGGAATTGAGTGCTTGGATTATGACCATGTGACTGCAAGGGCACTGTGACAGCCACAACTCAAGGTTGTAATTATCATTCCTTCAGCATTGTCATAAGTTCGATTGGTTGCTAAACCCTAACTTAGGATCACTTGTAATATAACCAAACTCTTTATAAAGAGAGTGAGAAACTTACTTGACTGTATTTTGGTGGACTTAAGTTTCTGTGTACAGTAAAAAAATATACCCCCAAAACTGTTGCTACCTTTTTTGCTTAGTAGTATTGCTCCCATCTTGAAAAATGGCTACCACATTTCACATTGTTAGTTATTATGTTCAGCTATCTGAACTGTCATGGCTATTCCAGAGTCTGCACAGTCCGATTTCATTTGGGATTCAATGCCAAATTTTAAATTTAGGAATCCATGTCACAATTACCATTGGAAATCAACAAACTTTTCCCTTCCTATTTGAGAAAACAGGATGATTTTTTTTCAGATTTACAGTAATAATCTCAGCCAAATACAGTTAGATATCAGACAAACAGATTTAGGTTTATGTATCTTTAAATTTGATACTATAACAGGAAATTGGAGAATTGGTCTGTCAGAAATCTTTTTAATATTTAATATTAATCATTATGTTCAGAGGCAGTAAAGCTCTGATTACCAGAAGCAGGGGAACAGCATAAGATGATTTGCCTAGAAGTATTCAGTAGTCAGCTGAAGAGATAAAATGAACTCTGTGATGCTTATTTTTTTTTAATAACCCCTTTAGGTATGTATACAGTACTATAGATTTCTGTTTCTTAAAAACAGCACACCGTGATATTAAGCTTCTCAGAGTGATATGCAAAGTATCTATTATGTATTCATAACTGTAGTCATTCATTACCCATGAACGTTTAATCAAGTGATTGTACAGTTTTATGTAAGTGAGCGATACCCCAGTTATCAAAGTTTTAAAAATAAATTCTGTGTATTGCCGTTTTAGCAGTACAGAGCTCATTTAAGAGTGCCACATGAATTTTTTTCTCATTAATAAATTATATTATTTTCCCTCGATATTTTATTAAAATGTACTTTTAAAAATATAAATATATATTCTTTACAGATTGCAAGCAAAAGATGCTTTTGGAGAATACCCTCATTTTCACAAGCAAGACATACAATATGTCCTCAGTGCCCAAATTATATTGATAAAATGGTGTGGGGGGGAAAAAGTAGACAGGCTAGAATAATAATATTCATCAACAGAACAAATAATTTGTTTTATAAATATTTTATCTCCTGTACATTATTGCATTGGGAGCCACAACTGTATGCAGCCATCATTCTATAGGAAAGTTTAGAAACGCAAACCAAATTGAGATATACATGAGTGTGAAGGGAAATGTGTGTATGAATAATAAATATGTCAGCTCATTATCTGATTGAACAATGTGCACAATCTCTTTAGTAAACATATAAATGATGAAATGTCTTTGAAGTGGATATTTAGCAACAAGGCGAGAGGGGGGAAATAACTGAATGCAAAATAAATTAAATAAAAATTGTAAACAAGTCATCATCTTACTTATGGGATATATGGCTTTGTTACTTCTGAGTCCTTCAAAATAAAATGATAAATTAAAGACATTAAATTTTTCAAAAAGAAAAGTTTCAAGGCTGAGCTGTGCTTCTAAATATTTGCACTGCCACTAAAATGATTTAAAATCAAATGAGAGATAAATCTGCAGCGTTACACAAGATGTACTCATACTAAGGCCTAAACAAGACACATATTAAGGAATGGGAATACATTAGGTAATAAGAAGTAGCAATCCACTACTGAAATGTTTTCCGCAAACTAACTAATTCTCTCACTCAACTTTTGTGGCACACCAGAATCTGCTGACCAGAATATGAACAAGTTGGCTTCCAGAGACCCATGTATACAATTCTGGTTTTTCAAGTCACACAGGAAAATATTCCACATTCCTTCTTTACAAATCATAATATCCAGTTAAAAACAGACATATGAACCTTTGATATATTTTGTGCACAATATATATATATATATATTTGTAAACCAGGTATCTGACCTTTATTTAAAACCCCCACAAGCCTACGGATTCTAGATTGCAATTCATCCCAATGAGCTTTGTAACTTATTTTCTGGGGACGGAATCAAGCACAAGATCTTAAAAACACAGTCTTGTTATAAAAAAAAAAACAAAGGACATCTTGCTCTCATCTTCTTTTGTCATTGTTCCAAATGGCCAAGGTTATGCCTTGCTTATTCCCAATTCAGTAGGGAGCAAAGAGGATAGATGCTGGAGTAGCTCGGAGAGGCCCGTGTCCTGCCCTTAGGAGAGCTGTGGGTATCGCAGAAGCCTGGAAGAGAGCCGCAGAAGGTCGTGGTGGGAGAGTCAGAGCTGTGGATACAGCCGCAGCTGCAGCAGCCAGAGGAGAAGAGAGAAAGGCAGGTGCCAAAGGCTTAAGAATATCTTTTTGGAAGGCCAGCTTTGCCTATGGAAAGAAGGGAAAGAAATACTGCTATAAGTGGTTGATTTAATAATAATAACAACAACAACAATAATAATAAAGTTGGAAGGGACCTTGGAGGTCATCAAGTCCAACCCCCTGCTCAGGCAGAAACCCTATACCATTTCAGACAAATGGCTGTTGTTTCTTCTTAAAAACTTCCAGTGTTGGAGCATTCACAGCTTCTGGAGGCAGGTTGTTCCACTGATTAATTGTTCTAACTGTCAGAAAATTTCTCCTGAGTTCTAGGTTGCTTCTCTCCTTGATTAGTTTCCATCTTTGCTTCTTATCCTGCCTCCAGGTGCTTTGGAGAATAGCTTGACTCCCTCTTCTTTGTGGCAGCCTCTGAGATACTGGAACATTGCTATCATGTCATCCCCTCCATCCTTCTCTTCATTAAACTAGACATAGCCAATTCCAGCAGCTCAGTCCCCTGATCATCTTTGTTTGCTCTTCTCTGAACTCTTTATAGAGTCTCAACATCTTTTTTATATCGTGATGACCAAACCTGGATGCAGTATTCCAAGTGTGGCCTTACCAAGGCATTGTAGAGTGGTATTAACACTTCACGTGATCTTGATTCTATCCCTCTGTTAATGGAGCTCGTTTAAAAGGTCTCCTGACACAGCTTTTAATTTCCTGCTCTTGCCCCTGGCACCTTTCCTTTCTCAATTTCAGGCCAGGAGGTTAGAAATGGCTGCAGCATTTCATAGCCATTCTTGTCTCACATTCAGCTGCTGGTGAATCGGCAGAGCTTCCTGGATGTGTTTTGGGCTCTGCTGCATTCCATTAATGCAAGATAGGGAGTCCTACTCCAAATTTATGCTGTATAGTAGTTAAAGTGGCAATGAGAACAAGGTCAACAACAGAAAGAAATATACTCCGAGCACTTGGGAAACAACTGCACCTATTCCAATAAAGCACAGTCGGTTCCTCAGACAAAACAGCGACAGTGTAACATCTTATGTTTGAAGAAAAAGGGAAGGTGGTCTGGTTGTTTTCTTGTAGATGTAAATTAGGTATTTACCTGGGGCTTATGCTGAAGCGTGCCCTATTATGACTTCAGCTTTTTCACCAAGAAACTAATAAGCTAATAAAACCTGAAGGACTTCAATTTCATTTTTATAATGAAGGAGGCATATTAGTTTTCTGTTTGGTTTTAAAGGTCAGCTGAAATGTGCTATACATTAAGATGGAAAATAACTGTACCTTGAACACTCCTGACTTAACAAAAAACTAGCTTCCTGAAAAATAATTGCCATTGAATTTGGTGGAGAGTCTACTTTTGAAAAATGTACATATCTCTTTTCTAGGCATATTCATGAATGTAGAGAAGGGTATCAAAGCTTTTCAATAGGATAATCACACCAGGCAATACTTACTGCTAGAATGTTTGGATTACGCTGTAGTTTGTTATACGGACTGTATTTCGGTTTTGTAGGTTTCCCTGCAACTCTGTCCTTGTGCCTCCTGCTAGAAATGTGCTGAAAAATCGATATAAATGTTGTGTTTAAAACTTATCAGTTGATAGTGTGACCAGTGTATACTCTCCAAGTAAACATATCTACTTATTTCAGGGGAAGGTAAGTTGACGAAAGCTCAGAGAGGTAATTTATAGTGGATATAAAAAGTCTACACATCCCTGTTAAAATACCAGGTATTTGAGATGTAAAAAAATGAGACCAAGATAAATCACCTCAGATTTTTTCCCCCCACCTTTAATATAACATATAAGTCGTACAATTCAACTGAAAAATAAAATGAACCATTTTAAGGGGAGGAGGGGAATAGCAATAAAAAACAAGAATGATGTTGCTGCAAAAATGTTCACACCCTTTAATAAGTAGGGATGTGGCTGTGTTCAGAATTAACCAATCACCTTCAATCTGATGTTAAACAATAGTCAGTACACATCTGCCATCAGTTAAAGTGATTCTGATCAAGCCCATGTAAAGTTAAGCTGTGCTAGTAGGATTTTTCTGACATTTACCCAGTTGCTTCTTACAGCAAAAGCCATGGTCTGCAAATAGTTTACAAAGCATCAAAGGCCTCTCAATGTTGGAAGGTATTGGGAGAAGGGTAAAAAAAAAACCAAACCAAGGCATTGGATATCCCATGGAACACAATGAAGACAGTCATCAACAAGTGGAGAAAATGTGGCACAATAGTGACATTACCAAGAACTGGATGTCCCTACAATATTGATGGAAAAAACAAGAAGAAAACTGATCTAAGAGGCAGCTAAGAGCCCTACAACAACATTTCTGGCAAGTACTGATTATGTACTACATGTGACAACAGTCTCCATCTATTCTTCATATGTTTGGGCTTGTGGGATAGGGTGGCAAGACAGAAACCTTTACTTACATATATTTTTTTTTTGCAAAAATCTATATCAAGTTTGACAAAGGCATGTGGGAAAATATGTTATGGTCTGATGAGACTAAGGTTGAACTTTTTGGCCACATTTCTAAGAAATATGTTTGGGGCAAAAACAACACTGGGCATCATCGGAGGTACATCAAACCCTCAGTGTAGCATGTTGGTGGCAGTATTATGCTTTGGGGCTGCTTTTCTTCAGCTGGAACTGGAGCTTTAGTCAAGGTGGAGAGAATTATGAACAGTTCCAAATATCAGTCAATTTTGGTACAAAACCTTCAGGCTTCTGGTAAAAGTCGAAGAGAAATTTCAACATGACAATGACCCAAAGAGTACTTCCAAATCAACAAAAGAATAGCTTCACCAGAAGAAGAACAAAGTTTTAGAATGGTTCTTTCAGAGCCAGACCTGAAAATCTATGGGGTGATCTGAAAAGGGCTGTGGCCTAGAGACACTCTCTCAATCTGACAGATTTGGAGCGCTTTTGCAAGGAAGAGTTGGCAAAGATTCCTAAGGCAAGACATACCATGTTGATGGGCTCCTATTCCAAAAGACTAAATGCTGTTGGAAAATCAAAAAGTGCTGCAACAATGTATTAGTTTAAGGGTATGCATGCTTATGCAACCATGTTATTGCAGGTTTTTTATTGTTATTTTTCCCCCTAAAGGTTTTGAGCTTGTTTTTCAATTGAATTGTACAGCTTTATAACTTGCATTAAAGGTTACATTAAATTCTGAAGTGTTTTATTTTGATCTGATTTTTTTCTATCCCAAAAATGTGGCATTTTAAGAGGGGTGTGTAGATGTTTTTATATGCACTGCCCATACTGCTTATGCAGTGTATCTGCAGAAACAAGCAACTAATGCTAACATTAAAAAGCATAAAAATTAACATTAATTTCAAATATGTATGGATCAAGACTTTCCTGGATAACAATGAAATTTAAAGGATGTTTTGTACAATAAGACAGCAAGATAAATAAGTAGGGAAGATGTGCTGGCAGCCATTGTGTAACAATGATCAATCCTTTCCAACAGAACTGGAAATAAATTTATCAAATTTATGGTCATCCATCTTACACAAGGTGGTATACAATGGAACCAACAATTAAAACATATTATAAAGCTACTTAAAAGTTAAATAATTAAACAAGAACAAGATCACAAGAGGGTTAAAACTGGAATGTTGTATGTGATGTTTCCAATCCGTATAGTAAAGGCAACCATAGGCCACAATAAGCAGTTGTTCATTTGTTGGTTTTCCTAGCATGGAGACAGGCTGCTGTCATTTGCAAAAGTAATTGTTCTACTCAGTAACGACATGGCTATAAATGTTTTACCAATGCTGTTGACCAGTAACACATTTTGTCTAAATATTTTCAGCATGATGACAAAGGGGTTATATTTGAAGGCATATCCTGAGTTGAGTTTAGTGCTAATAAATAATAGGAGTACACATGGGAGATTTTTGATCCCTTTTGATCAAGGGATTAGCCTGTATCAAATTAAATGATGCTAATTAATGGAATAAATATGTAATATGTACAAAAGACATACCTGCTTAAGTTGAATTTCTGAATTGACATGGACATCACAAATCTCACAATGAAAAGTTTTGTTCTGTAGTCCCGAACCCATACTAGTTCCATGAGTCTTCAATCTGGATCCAGGCCGAGGATAAGATTTAATTGGACCAGCACCATTCCTAGCTTCAACCATTGTCTTGTGTTTGGAACCTGACAAGTCATTATTATAAAAGAATCAGAAAACTTTAATGAGGAAACAGAGTTTTTTTTAGTCATTGAAACATTTCTATTCTTTCCTAGATTTTCTGTTAAATAGGTAAATACGAATAACAAATTTATGGTTGATCTCAGTCCTTTTTTATACAGTGCTCTGCAGGTTTTGGAAATTTTCAAGACACTTCAGAACCCATTTACACAACTATGAGACTGCCAGGCTCTACTGGCATTGATCAAAGAATTGTTGCAGGATCCAATCTGGGTCGATCACCAGGACCAGAGGTTTTGTCTTTCGAGGTTTCAGATCCATCTTCAGCATGAGTCTGAAAGCTCTGAAGATCAAGTCCATCACGAGTCCGAAAGCTTGGAAGAAAAAAACCTCTGGTCCCTGTGACTGACCCAGACTGGATCTTCCTGCAACATTATTCTGGGACACATGTATTTATTAGTCATAAAAGGATTATTTATCACACCCTCTTACTACCAAATCATCCACAACTTCGTATGTAAGAAAAGCGTGATTCCTGAAAATTATTCCTATTTTTCATCTTTTTAGAATGTTAAAAAAGGATTCTAGAAAGAAAAGGCATTTTAAAGTAATAAAGTTATGCAGCAAAATGAATTGCTCAACTTCTTTATGAACTGATTTTTTTATTTCCATGTTCTTCTGTTGTACATAAAGGAGAAATAATGAATCATATTCCCTAATAGTACTAATGAGTACAGATTCATTTTTATTTTACTCTTTGACATATCGCTACCATTCCGACAGATATTTAAAATTCTCCTTCCAGCATTCTTGCATATTAGTTTTATCCTAAATATTTAATCACTTTTATTTTTAATGCCATTCACTCTGATTAGCCCTCTTCATCCACATTTAAAACAGTTTTTAAAAAATTCTATCCAAATTACTCTGCATTTTGTACTTCCTGTACATAGAAACAATCTTATGCTTTAAATCATGTATTTGAACAAGCAGATCTTTTACTGGGAGATGCTCTTAAGACAGTCATTATTCTCAATTATTTTTGAACCTCCAAAGAATCCAATCATTTTATATACTCTCTCATTTTGTTTATCCATATCCATTTGTGTCACCTGGCAGAGTTACTCCCAGATCACATTTATTCAGAATGTTGCACAATTCTTTCAACAACATCAACCCTCGTTCCTCCATTATTGCCATTCACTGGAGCATAATATGCAACTGTTTCTAACCTATGGCTTCCTTCTTTCATATGCACCCAAAAGAACTTTGATATACTAATTCCAATTCATATTTTTCATATACTTTTTAGTTCATAGTTAATACTTCAATTTATAGTTAAAATTACACTTTCATTTTTCCGTATGTATTCATCAATTCCATTCCACAAGATCAGATCTCTTCCATTCCAATTTTCTTACATCCTTCCCCTTTTTAAATTTCATACTAAATAACTGCAAGTAACACATTATTGCCTGCATTCTACCAGTTAGGAGATATATGCAATATACTGACATACACAGGGATGCAAAACCAATCATTTTTCTCTTTTAAACCACTGTTATAGCAGAAGACAAGTTTTTCTGAAAGTTTTCAAGAAGTCAATTTCTAATATAGAGATCAATATCCCGTGTTTCCTTTACAACTTGAATATGAAGACATGCAAAGGTGAATCAGTAGGGGCAAGGTTTTTTTCCCCATTCACCAATTCTTTGAAATGGAGCTTTGAAAGGAAAAAATGGCTATAAATGCAGTAAATTAGCCATTCATGGTGGAGAGATTCAATAGTTCAATAGTCTCCTCTGTGATGACCATGGAAACTAGCTAACTTTCAGCCAATTGCTAAGGACAATGTACCTCATAGGTTTGTTATAAGAATAAAAGTACTGTATTATATACACAGCTTTGAACATTTAAAAAAATATCAAACACGGCTCTAATATAACAATAGAATTAAGCAACAGTAGAGTAAGAGCAAACTGTTTCTTTCTTGCTTTAGGAATCCTGTTTTGCATTCTAATCCCAGCATTCTTTTTATCTCTAAAATTTTCTAAAATTAATTTCAGAACTGGAGTGTGTAGTTCCTTCAATCATTTTTATGTCTCTCTGCCATCTACTGATGCACAGTATGATTAATTAAAGTTGAAGCACTTAATTGATTTGCATATGTGCTTCTGTGTATTAACACAAGCGGAATCTTAATACAATCAGCATACTTGGTTTTTATTTTTATTATTTTATGTTTAAAATAAAGATAAAAAGACAAGAAATCCCAGGTAATTGGGCTGGCAAGGGGGTAGTCTGCATACCACCTGTGAAAATCTACATGCCAGTAGCCTGTGGGGCACAACCCTGCATAGGATAGGAGCAGCCCTCTTGTCTCTTTCTGTGTTCCTCTTCCCCCTATCTGCCCCCTTCCTCCTCTCCACCGGAATGCGGAGGTAGGTTCAAATAACTTCTTAGAGAGCTCTAAACTGATTGCTTATAGAATTATATAGTACAACTCTGCCTTTTCCTGAACTACCTTTTTCTTTTGCAAAACATTACACAAAGAAGAATCTAGACATATGATTATTAGAATTCAACATATTAGAATTCAACATTATGGAAGCACAAGCAATAGAACACAGTCAAACTAGAGTCTTGGACTTCAAGAGAGCTAATTTCAATAAACTTAGAGAGGGCTTGGGAAGGATTCCATGGAGGAGAATCCTCAAGGGGAAAACAACACAAGAAGCTTGGGAAATTTTGAAAAGTGAGATAATAAAAGCCCAGTCTAGCACAA